AAACCACAGTAAATTCTAAATCATAAATATGCAGACAGCATTATGTCATTATAATTCAATACAACTATTAAATACAATCAGGAAACAAATACTCTGCCAACTTGGAAATTTATAATTCATATTTTAATAAATTCTTGGTACCAGGAAAATACATAGTGCACAACCTTAGCCTGCCCAGAAAATTATCAAAATCAAAACAGCATGTGGGAGACAACTAGAATTCAGAGAAAACTCACAAGCTTCACTATTTTTATCACTAAACATGAAAGACTAAACATCTGAAGCGAGAAGTTAGAAAAAGATAAAAATATGAACATAAGGAAAGCAGAAGGGACCAATGAAAATAAATTAAGAAATTCAATGGTTAGAAATAAGTCTTAAAAAGAAGTAAAACTAGTAATCCACAAGCTGATTTTAACAGATTATCCATTAATCAATCAAGACAAAAAGAAAGAAAATGTAATTATACAAAATAAAAATGATACGGGTGCAAGTAGCAACAGCAGCAGGAGAAATGAAAAGAATCATAAAAATGATACTACTGAATATTATGCAAATAGATTTGAAAATTATCATGAAACGGAAAATTTTTAATGAAATTTCTAAAGCCTACTCCAGAAGGGCTGTAAAACATAGAAGTCCAGTTTCCAAAATAGACACAGATATAAGGTGTCAAAGAACTACCTTGGGGAAAAAAATCACCAGGCGAATTATACCAATCCTTAAAGAGTAGATATTTATAACTTTATTTAAACTATTCTATAGCCATAGATGAAGAAGAAAAATTAACAGATACTTCTTATGAAATGAGTATTTCATTTTTACCAAAGCCTCATAAAGGTTACACACACACAAAGAAAATGCCAGGCTCAATCTTTCTTATGACTATCATAAATATCATATTGTAAAATATAATTTCATCAACTATCATAAAATCCATGATATTAGCACATTTTGTTGTTAACATAAATATTAACAAATAGATTCCAGACACACACGTATACATGCATATAATGGAATATTATTTAGCCTTAAAAAAGAAGGAAATGCTGCATTTTGTGACAACATGGATGAACCTGGAAGACATTATGCTAAGTGAAACAAGCCAGACATCGAATGACAGATACTACATGATCTCATATGTGGAATCTAAAACAGTCCAATTCATAGAAGCAGAGAGTAGAATGGTGGTTGCGAGGGACTGGGGTTGTGGGAAATGGAGGAATGTTGGTTGAGAGATACAAAGTTTCAGTTATGGCAGATGAATCTGGGGATCTATTGTACAGTAATGTGACTATAGTTAGCACTGTGTTGTACACTTGAAATTTCTAAGAGGGTAGATCGTAAGTGTTCTCACCACACACAAAAAATGTAACTAAGTGGGGTGATGGATGTGCCACTTAGTTTGATTGTGGTAATCATTTCACAATGTATACATATATCAAAACATCAAATTGTATGCCCTAAATATAAACAATTTTTATTTGTCAATTATACTTCAATAACGATGAAGGAAAAAAAGATTTATTCTGCTAAATAGATGGCAATTCCCCAATAAGTGTTTTATAAGTTCAGATATGCATGCATTTTACTTGCTGGATAAACCCGTGCAATTTGAAAAGGCCAGAGGCTCAGAATTATTAGGAACAACAACAAAAACCCAACCAACGAACAGAGATGGTGAGAGTGTGAAAGAGCAGCAATTGAACCCTGAACATCCTAGGCTTTCTCGAGGGAGGGCATTTTGTTCTGTGCTCATCACCCTCCCGGGACTCACACAGCCTAATTCCAAATCTCCTCATTTCTCTGCTGGTGAATGTTAGCATGAGGAGCGATGAAAAATATTTCCCGATGAGAAGTGGTTAATCCTTTGTTTTCACACAACTACACAGGCTCTTAACGTTAATACCAGGCGGTGTCAACTGCACCCTGTCATTTGTGTTCGCTTCAGCTTTATAATGTTACTTAGCACTAATAGATTAGGATTTCAGGGCATTCCACGTTGGCAGTACTCCTGGGAGGCAGAGAAAGACAGGCAAGCATCTTCAGAAGCAGGAAAAGAAGCTAATTCATGTTTCTGCCTCCTGCCTCCTAGCGAAGAGTAGGCTCTGTCAAGTGTCTCTGATTACACGGCACCATATGATTCCTTAGTAAATAGCAATTAGTGGTGACGCAGGATGCTAATGCCATATCAAAATAAATTCAGAAGGCCAGTCCACGACATAGGAGGATCAAAACTCCCTGTTGGGGCCGGCCCCGTGGCTTAGCGGTTAAGTGCGAGCGCTCCGCTGCTGGCGGCCCGGGTTCGGATCCCGGGCGCACACAGAGGCACTGCTTCTCTGGCCATGCTGAGGCCGCGTCCCACATACAGCAACTAGAAGGATTTGCAACTATGATATACAACTATCAACTGTGGCTTTGGGGGGAAAAAATAAATAAATAAAATCTTTAAAAAAAAAAATAAAAAACTCCCTGTTGGTATGAGACAGAATACTCAACAGCTTGAACAATTACACAGGTTCCAAAGTATTGCTTATCTGTGAAAATAAAGAGCAAAGTGCCACATATATGTTTTTAGTACTCTAAATAAATGTATGAATGCAGGAGGCTATATATATATATATATATGGCTTCAAACCTTGGTTAACTAATAATAAAAGTGAAAAATCAAAAAAATCCAGGGGCCGGCCCGGTGGCATAGAAGTTAAGTGTGCATGCTCCGCTGCGGCAGCCCGGGGTTCGGATCCTGGGTGCGCACAGACACATTGTCAGGCCATGCTGTGGCAGCGTCCCACATAAAATAGAGGAAGATAGGCATGAATGTTAGCCCAGGGCCAGTCTTCCTCAACAAAAAAAAAGAGAAAGATTGGCGACAGACGTTAGCTCAGGGCTAATCTTTCTCCCAAAAACAAACCCCAAAAAATCAAAGAAATTCTTTGAGTTTTTTTAACTGTATTAACTTAATCTACAAACCATTCTCCAAATTTAGAAACCATTCTCCTTCTTCAAACAACTGGAGAAGGCGGTATGGGAAAGTGGTTAATGGTGTAACATTAGGAGTTAGGCTGACATGGCTTTATCCCTTGTCTACAAGCAGTGAGCGCTTAGAGGGGTGATTTGACTTGACTAAGCCTCAATTGCCTCACCTGTGAAATGGGGATAGTCATAGCACTTTTCCCACGGGTTGTTGAAAAATCAAATGAGATATTGCTTAGAGAGGAGGACATTCCCAAGCTTAATTGACAGGCTGATTTTTAGCAGTCCATGAGGAAATGAATGCAAAAATTGAGAGTGTTCAGAAACTTTTATGGCAATTGACGAAGTAATTTTATGGTTATTGAATCAAATAATTTTTTTAAATGAGCACGTATTTTGGTTTTTTCTTTTGCTTTTTTTCTCATTTCTTTTATTTTTTTTCAATTATTTTATTTAGGTCATAATGGTTTATAACATTGTGTAATTTCAGGTGTACATTATTATATATGAGTTTCTGTATAGACTGCTTCATGCTCACCACCAATAGTCTAATTTTTATCCGTCACCATATATGTGTGCCCCTTTACTCCTCGTGCCCGTCCCTCAACCCACTTCCCCTCTGATAACCACTAATCTGTTCTCTTTATCTGCATGTTTGTTTATCTTCATAACATAATACCCTCAAGGTCCATCTATGTTGTTGCAAATGGGATGATTTTCTCTTTTTTATGGCTGAGTAGCATTCCATTGTATATATATACCACATCTTCTTTATCCATTCATCAGTTGACGGGCACTTGGGTTGCTTCCATGTCTTGGCTATTGTGAATAATGCTGCAATAACCAATGAGCATGCATTTTGAATGTTTACTTTTTATTTCAGTTCATTTTTGGGAATTCATTTTTATTGTATTTTACAAAAGTATTGGGGAAAAAAAAGCAATAGAATTGGTCCTTGACCATAGTTTGAGAAGCACTGATACATAGGACATAGCACAGTTCTTGGTTCATGGTAAACTTTCAATAAATGTTGGTTGTTGTTATTATTATTATTACTATTATTCATAGCAATAGTCAAATTGCATCCTCATACTAACACTAAGCTTACCAGGAACCACAGTGTCAGTTATGTCCTTCGCATCTATTGAACATTTCAGCCACCGTATGTGTCCCCTGTTGCAGCCATTGCTCGAGTGCCCAACCTCTCATGGGCCCCAACTTCCCACAGGCCAAGCTCACTTCACCTTGACTGTGTTGACCTCCTTCCTCTAGCCTCTCTGCCAGGGCTGAACTTTTGACACCAAGGCTTGTGATCTTGCAGGACCCCACTCAGTGCAGGTGCTTCTAGAACCTAGAAGTGCAAGGGTGCAGTGCACCAATGGGTGAAGCTCTGCTTAGTGGGAGAAAGCAGCTAGTAAATGAATTTTTCCTCTTACTTCCCCCAGACACACAGTCTGAGACTCGGTTAAATGGCTTCTCAGAGGACAGTTTCACAGGATAGGGCACTTAGTGGCTGCCACTCCCCACCCTGCATCCTCACTTTGGCTCCCTTCTTTGCTGCCTCACTCCTTTGCCCCTCACTCCTCCTCCCTAATAACATATTCACACACACCTCTTTGCCGAGGGCTCTGTGGGGAATGCAGGCCAAGACATTCACATTCAGCTTTGTGTTATGTCTAGGAATCTCTTTGTTCTTTTAGAACTATATGCTCCTCTAGGTCATCAGATTCATTCAATCTAATCCCTTTATTTTATAGATGAACAAAGATCCATTATATTGGATGTCCACATGGTGCCATATTTGTACACAGAAGCTGTTGGATCCATTAGAGACCAAGATTCCTGGGGCCAAGTCAAGGGTTCTAGTCCTATTTCCACTACACCAGTGAATCTCTCATGAACTAAAGAGTCACAGAGGATCTTTAAAGCCATTTTTCAAGTGTTTCTAAGTTCACATATATCGAAATGCCCACTATTAGCAAACATTTGCATGCTAAGGTAAATCTGACATTACAATCAATGGTTGTATTAGTTTCCTAGGGCTGCCATAAAAAACAACTACAGACTAGATGGCTTAAATGATAGACATTTATTCTCTAGTTATGGAGGCCAGAAGTCTAAAATCAAGGCATCAGTAGGGCCGCACTTCCTCTGAGAGTCTGGGTAGAATCTTTTCTTGCCTGTTCCTAGCTTCTGGTGCTGACAAGGTGCCCCTTGGCTCGTAGATGCATCACTTCGATCTCTGCTTCTGTCATCACATGGTGTATTAACCATGTCTTTTATTTTCTGTATTTGATGCTTTGATGTCTGGGGCTTTGCTGACTCTGGAGGGACTGCCCCTCCCAGGAGTAGCCAATTCCTAGAGACAGTAAACTCTAGTGTAGAGTTCCCTTTTTAAATGCAAACCAACCAATCCAGAGCCCATACTCCAACCACCTCCTTTATGGGGCTCTCACACCCAGCCACTATCCTCGTGCCCTAATCGCCCCAAAGCCAGCTACCACACAACTAGGGGCGGCCCCTGTGCTGCAGAGCCCACTAAAATTATTCCAACTAGCTAATCCTAAACCGGTTTACAAGGCCTCACCCATTCCTTCTCTGAGAAACCACAATAAAGGCTCTTACCCACATTTTTCCCTCACTCTGTCTATCTCCTGACCAACCCAAGTGCTTCCCTATATGGCCACGTGTGGTGTCCTGTGCCTCCTAGTTCTGTGGAACTGTGAGTGTAAACATTTTCCTTCGTGATGGTCATTTCCATGTCTGCGTCTTACCATAGCTGATTAAAACAATCCTAGGTACCCTTAAAATACTTGGCATTCTCCATGTGTGCCTGTGTCTGTGTCTCTTTTCAGCTTCTCATAAAGGACAGTAGTCATACTGGATTAGCACCCACCCTAATTCAGTATGACCTCATCTTAATTTGATTACATCTGCAAAGCCCGTATTTCCAAGTAAGGTCACATTCACACGTTCCAAGGGTTAGAACTTGAACATGTTTTGGTGGGGAACATAATGCAACCCATAACAACATTGTATAGCCAATGTTGAGAATACTTACTTTTATGATGTCTAATCCTGGTATGGTCTAGAGCATGGTTTGGCAAACTTTTTCCATGAAAGGGCCAAACCATGGATATTTTAGGCTTTGCCAGCTGCATAGGGTCTCTGTCACATACTCTTCTCCTCTGCCTTCTTCTCTTCCTCCTCCTCCTCTTCCTTCTTCTCCTTTCAACTCTTGAAAAATGGAAAAAAAAATTCCTAGCTCATGAGCTGTACTAAAACAGACCACAGGCCAAATTTGGCCTGCGGGCTATGGTTTGCTACCCCCGATCTATAGCAATAATCAAATGAGATCAAAGTGAGGCTGAACAATGCCTGGCAGATACTTAGTGCTCATCATGTTTGTTGTTTTTGTCAGCTATATGGTAACAGTCAACATCTAACCAAAAGTTTGCCAGATAATTCTCATCTGTGTGACTAATTGGCAAGCCATTTCCTGTTTAAAACGTTTTCAGTGTCAACCTCCGTAACCTGAGTAAGTTATGTTGACGAGAAAGAAGATCAAGAACAGCGCCTGACATCACTGTGGTATGTTCCCCACGTGCTACGCTTAGGATGGTTGGAGGAGGCAGTGGCGATGGTGGTGGTGACGGCTGTTCAGAAGACGTACAACGTGGGTTTGCTTTAGCCATAGGACCACGGAACATGTAGAACACTGCTGAAAGATAATTCAATCCGCAGATATTTGAATTATTTATTTATATTTTTTGATCAGATGGTTCAGGCTCCCAGGTTAACAAGAAGGATGTTCCTCCCTTGGGAGGGAGAAAACAGACTAGAATCAGAGCTTAGTTCTACCACCTTTGGAAAAGATAGTAAATTCTTCTTTTAAAATAGGCCTATTGGTGAGGTGAGGAGGATCAAACAAAATGCAACACAACAAAGCATTGAGTCTCTGTTTTGGGAAGAGTGCCAGGGAAGATTCATACAGGATGCCATTGCATCTAAAGTATGGTGTGGCCCCAATAATCTTTTGTAGAGTCATGTAAGCAGGTGTGGCCTCTCTTTGCTGTCAGCCCTCCTGAATGGTGCCTCAGAAGCATCAACCCACCGCCTCCTTTTGTTCTGAGGCTTCATCACTCTCTCTTCACTAGGAGAAGAGATAATGCTTGTTTTCAGGTCTATTCAAGAAATTCTGGACTTGGCAGAGCAGCCATGCTGGAGATCCTGATAATTAAGACAATTGCTTTCTTGCTATGGTGATGCTTATGTCTGCCTCGAATGCCAAGCACTGTAATTACCTTGTGAACTTCACCTGAGATCAACTTTCTAGGTATTTGCTCACTCCATGGGGATGAGAGGGCCACTGCGTATTCCTAACACACTTTAAATGCCTTAGATGAGTTGGAATGATAGTGGATTTTGGAGTCAGGTGACCTGTCCTTAGCTCACAGCTCTGTCACTCTCTGGCAGTGAGATTTGGGGCAAGATTCTCAAGCTCTCTGAGGTTCATTTCTCTTTTCTATAAATAGGAATGAGTGTGCTTATATCATAGTGTTCTTATAAGGATTAAATGAAATTATATTAACACAGTCCTTGGAAAACATAAGGTCACATTCCTCTTTTGGAGTTTTCACCTGTGAAGTTAATCATAAACATTTAGTAGGTTTGCCAGATTTAGTTAAATATGAATTTCAGATCAACAACGAATTATTTTCTAGTATAAGTATGTCCCAATTTACGTTTCATCTGGCAGCTCTACATTTGAAGGATCTCAGAATCTTCTTTTCAGAATACCTTTTCATAGAGTAACTGGCTGAAAACTATCAAAACCATGTTAGAACTCGCAAGCCAAGCTTTTAAATTCTACTCAGAGTGCCCCAGCAGAATAAAAACTCTAAACTTTCCAGCTTCTGATATTCAAAATAGGAAAAAATATTCTATACAAACAGAGACCTGAAAAGTAGGAGTTATAAGGATACTGTTGTATAGTTTAAACAGCAGAAGAAAAAAAATAAAACCATTTAGGAATTCCCCATATCTGAGAAAAGCTCCTGTGACTTGTTTGAACTCGTCAAAATCTCATCCTGAGCCTAGGAAAGAAAAGGCAGGCTCTTCTTACCTCAGCCAAAGCCCTCCTGGCCCCCAGAAGCCAAGGAGGAAACCAGGGAGATGCAGAGCTCGGGCATTTGTCCCGAGAGGGTTTTCTCCTGTCACCATATTGGGTCAGGGCTTCAAAGGCAGATAGCATCCTGGCTTACACTCAAACTCATTGCCTCCTGCTTCTCCCTACACCAATACGCAAATGCTTTTCTACAAGGTTAGGGGTGAGAGGGAAAGGAGAGGAGAGAATGTGCATGTAATAATAATTGCCTCCTGGAGCCGTGAGGATCAAAAAATATCACGTATGATATAGAAAACCTTTAGCACATAAATATCACTACTGGAGATCAGTGAAAGGCAGCTGAGAGCACGAAGGGCCTGGCAACAGGGTTCAGGGAACACTGGAGTCTTCCCAGCTACCTGTTATGAAGCAAGCTCTGTGACAGAACACAGGGCCAGATTTTTCTTCACCTTACAGTTTCACAATCTAGTGGTGAGATGCAGGAAAGCACTAAGTACACGTGCATGCATAGACAGTGGGCATGATGGAGAGCTAGAAAAGGCAAAGGGCTTCATCACCCTACCACTGACCCTACTCCTTACTCCATCCTCAATATGTACGCAGTTTAAATAGACTCTAAATGACTGCAAATAGGGGCTAATATAAATTATGATCTCTGCAGCCATTTGAAAGCAGGCTGTTGAAGAATAAGTATTGTTTTGAGAAAATGTCCACAACACTGCTGAGTAAACAGAAGGAGTCCACAAGAATTATTTTATTATGGATAAAACTAGAAGGACAAACATCAAAATGTATGTATAATGATTTCCTCTAGATAGATGAATTATGGGTTATTATATAAAAGGACTATTTCTTAGAACTTTGTGTGTTACAGATTATCTGCATTGAATATGCCTAATTTCCTAGTTAAAAAAGACAACAAATATGAAAAATACCATAAAAATCCACAGATAACATACCTTGTACATTACCTCTCCCAAATAATTTAATATTTCCTTCAGAATTGAAGATACATGAAAATAATGGATCAAATCTAGATTTTTTCAGGGCAGTAAGTGATTGAAAGTCACTCTCCATGTCAAGTGCTCCACGCAGAGTGGTGTCAGGAAAGGCTGACACTATATGGAGACAGAATGTACCAGTACAGCTGTGCCTCTGGTTTACCTTCAGGTAGTACCATTCTCATTGGTTGGTGCCCATGCTGTCCAAATGGCTATGTGTTTTGAACACCATCTCCGAAGACAAGGCAGAGTGGTTTGGATTAGGAAATGGCTTCTTTTTCCCTTTTATAAAATACAAATTAGGCTCATATATATAAGTATTGACAAGCTAATGATAATAATTGAATTAAAATGCATTAAAAAATTAATATTTATAAAACATACAAGGCACTGAGTTCTGTGCTAAGAATGGAAAGAAGTATATCAACAATCACAATTCTCAAAGGTTTTATAATCTGTTTGAGGGAAGAAAGGTATGTTCATTAAGCAAATATGTTCAACTATACGAGAACACACAGTATAGCGCCGAATGAGTGGAACTGATAAGAGAAAACACTGGGGTTAGGGGGAAGAAGACATGGGTTTAGGACTTGAGAGATATGGAAAGCTTCATAGATGAGGTGCCTACAACTGCAAGAAGAAGTACAAAGAAATGAGGAGATGATAATTTCAGAAGAGGAAAATGGTGGAAAGGCAAGGCAACCCTTAACATGTTTAGAGGTTGATCAATAGAACCTTATTTTTAAGGAGGAATTTAGATTAAAGTTGTAGAGATACACTGGCAGAAAACTGCTTAGTGATCTTGAATGCCATGGATTTGAGATTTAATTTTGAAGGAATCCATTAATTTTATAACCAAGGAGGGGATGGATAGCTACATACTGCTAGTTTAGGAGGTAGTCCAAAGTACAGCATGGAGACAGAAAAAAGTAAAATGGGAAAATTTACTACAATGCTATCATACTTGTTCAGGCATGAGGTGATAAAAGCCTAAAATAAACAGGTGACCATGGGAAAAGAAAGAGTGGCATGAATATTAACAACAGCATGAAGTGTCTCATCAGAAAAGGAAGAGACCAAGCCAAGCCTGAGACCTCATATCTGAGTGCAATAGACTATGGATGTTACCTAGACACTGGAAGAGTTGGATGGTGAGAAAAACCATGAATTCAGTATTAAATATGTTGACATTGAGAGAATGGTCAGATCTCTCAGTGGAAATGACCAGTGCTCAGGCTTGGAGTTCAGAAGACATGCTCCACATGCAGACTGGGATTTGGAGAGTTATCTGCAGAGAAGTGATGCTTGAATCATGACAACAATACACATTGCTGAGGAAGAGATTACTAGAGATTATTGATAAAGCCATGGAAAAGACAATTTACTCAGCTTCTATACATATCTGTTAAATGGGATGAAAACATATAACCTGCAGGTTTTCTTGTGATTATGGAACAGAATGATGCAGGTAGATGTTCCATATCCTTCAATATGCCAGAGGTATGAATGCAATTCCCCAACTAGACGCTGTACAGCTAATTTCAAAGTAAACCTCTATGATCATCTTCTATATTCAAAAGAAAATCTACTTACCATCCCATGGATACTTTAAAATAGTGGTCACCATCCTCCTCCAACCCCATCAATTTGAGTGTATTTACTAGTCACTTGGAGGAGGAGGAAGTTATTGCATGAGTGCAATGTGCAGGAACTTTTGTATGAGCTTTACATCTGGTCACTTTCCCAATGACCCTACAAAATAGATGGTTGTTGTCGTCATTATCATAGTAGTAGTAGTACTAGTAGTACTAGTAGTACTACTAGTACTACTACTAGTAACAGTATTGGTAGCCATAATAGCAGTTGTGGTAATATTAGTTGTAGTAATAGGAATAGTTGTAATAATAGTAATACTACTACAACTACTAGTAGTAGTAGAGTCACTTTATAGGTGAGATAAATAAAGCACAGAAAGTCTAAGTAACTTACCAAATGGCATGCAGTAGGAAATGGCAAATCCAGGTCCAAACCCCAGCAACCTAACTCCAGGGTCCATGCCCTTAAACCTGAGGCAATATCGTTGTCGAATCCATGAGATGGATGAAGACTTTTGTCATGATCTGTTCAGGTGCGGGAACTTGCAGTTAGATATTTGGGAAAGCAGACTTTCAACTTTTAATCACAATCTGCTTTTGATGACCTTGAATGGCTACAAGTTCTTCTGAAAGATGTACTTACATTTATAGGAGTAATTGAAAGAACTTTAGATTATTAATGCCACAGTATTTTGCTTTTGATGCCAGTGAATTTTGGTTTTATTTTGTTTTGTTTGTTTATTTTTCACCATTTCCATGATCAAAAAATAAACCAGGAAGAAAAACAGTTGAAAAACTCATCTTGAGTTTCAGTGGCTTAATTAGCTACAGATTCTAAAATACTTAACGAGTTTGCCTCCCTTCTGCATTTGCTTTCACTTTTCAGTCATAGTCCTCGTGTCAGTCTGCTCGGGCTGCCATAATAGAATATCACAGACTGCATGGCTTAAACAACAGAAATTTATTTTCTCACAGTTCTGGAGGCAGGAAGTTTGAGATCAAGGTGCCAACAGGTTTGGTTTCTGTGAGAACTCTCTTCCTGTCTTGCAGATGGCCGCTTTCTTGCTGTGTCCTCACGTAGCCTTTCTCTATATGCACATGCATGCCTCATGTTTCTTTCTCTTTTTCATAGGGACACGAATCCTATTGGATTAGGGCCCCACCCTTATGACCTCACTTAACCTTATCTCTTTAAAGGCCCTATCTTCAAATATAGTCCCATTGGAGGTTAGGACTTCAACACGTAAATTTTAGAGGGAAAATCAATTCCATAACAGTCCTATTTCATTATCTGAACACATCAGTGCTGATATCAGTTTGATAAGATCAATTTTCACATGACAGAGCAGAGTTTCTTTCAAGGAAAAAAAATTCAAATGAAACTCACACTGCTAATCAATCTTCATTCTCACCTGGTTCATTAATCGTTATGGTCTCTAGAAGTTGTACACCAGAACTAGTAAATCGGTTTGTGGTCTAAGGGGATGGATATCATAAAATAGACAGTAGCCATCTGTCTACAATTAGCCTATAACACTGACCCCTTTTTCCCCTACTGACACTCCTACTTGGTTCAGCTTATCTCTTATGCATGGAACTTGCAGTCTTCAAAGAGCCATAGTTTCTAAACATGATGACCTACTCAAGTTCCGGTTTAGGAAATCCTTAGTGAAAGAAAGACATATTTTATTCAATCCAAACAGAGTTTTTAACTTAAGTTTCTTAGCTTCCAGACTCCATAAGATCAGCTTCAAGAAACCAGTGACAATTCAAAAGAGAAAATATGGCTTCAGTCCCTGGTGTACTGCTTTCTGCCAGAAGTGTTTCTACACATTTTCTTTCCTTTATAAAACAAGATGACATCAACATGCTCAGACGACTGTCCGCAAGATTGGTTGGGAGACAGTGCACTCTCCTAAATCCTGGGATGTAAGTGTCTGTGGCCATCGCTGCTGCTTTAAGGCCCAGATTGACAACTTTAAGAAAAGGGAGGGGGGCCGGCCCGGTGGTGCAGGCGGTTAAGTGCGCACGTTCCGCTGCGGCGGCCCGGGGTTCGCCGGTTCGGATCCCGGGTGCGCACCGACGCACCGCTTGTTGGGCCATGCTGTGGCGGCGTCCCATATAAAGTAGAGGAGGATGGGCATGGATGTTAGCCCAGGGCCAGTATTCCTCAGCAAAAAAGAGGAGGATTGGCATTGGATGTTAGCTCAGGGCTGGTCCTCCTCACAAAAAAAAAAAAAAGAAAAGGGAGGGTACATGATTACACTTTGACTCTAGACGAAATGTCAAAGAAAGAGGCACAGGTTGGCTTCACAAGCAGGGACTCTGAGCAGAGCTATTCATAGATAGATTAAATATTAATATTACAATTAAGATATTAACGGTACTTTCTATGTGCCAGATAGTTCACATACATTATCTCAAATCTTTATGTGAAACTTTCAGTGCTGATATTTTCCCCATTTGTTAAATGAGGAAATTCAGAATCAGGGAGATTAAATAACTTTCTGCCAAGTAGAAAACAGAAAACTCAAACCATGTTTGTCTGGGTCTAAAGTCAATTGTCTGTGCAACAAGGGATTCTGCTACTCCTAGATGAAGACCCAAGGTCCAGGTCTGGCTTATTGATTTACTGGCTAAGAAATTCAATATTATCAGTTGTCTGTATGTATTAGGATCAAAACTTGTTGATATGAATCAAATCACAATGGTCACGAATAAATCATAAGAGTCTACATTAATGTACACTGGAGGATGTATCTGTTAAGATGACTGGCCTGGATCATTTGCTCAAGAAAACTCCTCTCCTGGTGGTTAGTCAACCCAGGAGATGAAACAATAAATCAGAGCTTGCTTGTTGCATCAAGAACTAGATAAAAGGGGGAATGGATGTTCTTAAAAAATATCTCCATAGCTAAAGTCCCTGAATAAATATCTCATGATGTTTAGTTCCGAATAATTGAGAGTGGTTCTCACGTTCTCCCTTGGCCTGGATCACTAGAACACCATTCCATGTTAAAGAGTCTTTTCCCTTGGCAGCACTTTATTGTGAAACTACCATTACTTTGATTTTTAACTTGAGATTCCCTCCCTCAGGGTTCCTGAAAGGCAATGCTACGCTCTCTCCTGAAAACGCAGTGACTTCGCAGTGAGAGTCATCAGGTTGGAAACGTGGGTCCCTCTCACTCTCTATAAAAATGGAATTGCCACATGGAACAGAAGAGAAATATACTTTAAAGTCTCATATGACCTAACTCCTTAGAGGTCCTGGGCCAGATTGATTGATTGGACTAAGAAAGAGCTCCCTTCTCCCCCTCCACCTAATCCCACATTCCTTAAGGAGGTAGAGGGGGGCACACACACAACAAGCAAAAGAAATGTGTGGAAATGAGTTGCTAGTTGATGGGTGAAAAAGGAATAATTACTTGCATTAAGAATATTTGCTTTCCTGGGGCCGGCCCAGTGGCACAAGTGGTTAAGTATGCGCACTCCGCTGCTGGCGGCCTGGGTTCACGGGTTTGGAATCCCTGGCGCGCACCGACGCACTGCTTGTCCAGCCATGCTGTGGCGGCGTCCCATATAAAGTGGAGAAAGATGGGCATGGATGTCAGCTCAGGGCCAGTCTTCCACAGAAAAAAAAAAGAGGAGTATTGGCATCAGATGGTAGCTCAGGGCTGATCTTCCTCACACACACACAAAAAAGAATATTTGCCTTCTCAATGTGTTAAAAATCCCATTAATGCAACTCAGAGGATTCAAACCACTCTAGAGAGGCTTTCTGATTTAAGAGGGCACAGGGGCCTCAATTTGTATGTATTCTAAATTCCAAACAAAATTTCCATTAGCAACCTGGATATCTGAATGGAATTTGGGAAACCTTTGGGGAACAAGATTATTAATACAAATCTTGCTGTGTTAGCACTGATAGGAGGCAGACCCACGACTCTGAAAATCTAGTAGGAAGGAGTCCATTCTGGGACCTCTGTGGGGTGGCAGGCAAAGGGGCACTACTGGCTCTGAGAGGGCAGAAAGGACCACTGTTCTCTAATCTTCCATTTCCTTCAGATGGTTTTAATTTGCAAAGCTGCCTTCAGACTCTTGTGATTTTGCATCATAGCCCAAGGAGCAAATTCTCCCTCCCTGACCCCCATCCGCTCTTCCCATTCCAATGTAATAAATAAAACCTGTATTTTAATAATTTCTCATTCAATATAAAAAAACTGGTTTTACTTCTGGTTCTATCATTATGAATTGCATCCTTGTAGCCTTGGACAAAAGCACCCTTCTTAGCCTCAATTGTATGGCACTTAAAATAAGAATAACATCTTCCATGCCTAACCCACTGTATTTATCATAAAGTTTCATAAATTATTGCAGGAGACATTTAATTTTATAAATTAAATTAAAGTCCATAGCACTTTATTAATAACACATGGAACGATCATTACTGATTTATACATATGTTTGCTCGTTAGGAAGAGATCTACCTCTCCATGTCTATTCATCCTTTTATTAATTATTTCATGCACTTGTTAACTAACAACTATGTATGTGCCAAGCGTTTTTATAGACACTGGGGTCTTTTCCGACCTCTCCTCACTACCACTACACAAGCTCCTCTGGGGGGTATACATTCACCCCCATTACATGTTAATTACTTACAAATTTGTATTTCTGACACAATTTCTCTTCTGAAGTATAATTCAACTGCTATCTAGGCATCTCCCCTTGACTACCCTTCAGGCAACTCAACCTTCTCATGCCTGAAGATGAACAAGGAGTGGCACAATTTTCAACCTATTTACAGACACTTAAAAACAAACAAATATAATCTGAGATTTACCCTTGACCTATTCTTGTTGCTTACCCAAGCTCCCAAAATAAATCAAATTAATCACCAAGTGCTGTCATTTCTACCTCTTAAATATTTCTTGAATCTATCTCCTTCAATTTGTTTTTATTATTACCACATTGATGCCAGCTATTGTAATTTGTCCCCAGTTATACCGCAACAGGTTCCTAATTGGTTTCCCTGCTCCAGCCTTTCCCCCTTCTGAACTGTCCTCTTCACAGTAGCCTAAGGGAATTTTCTACTTTGAGTCATGAGACGTGAGAGTGGGAAGATGGGCTGCATGTGCATCATCCGGGGCTGTGAGCAAAGCTGGTACCCCACAGAGTGCCTGGCTCTTGGAGGGTTCTCTATGTTTGTTGGTTGGTTTTTTACCCAAAAGATAGAAATGCATTTTGAAAAACCACAGGATTCTGCAAAATTAAGCTCAGTATAACACATTTTAGTAAAGGTAATGACATTTACTTCAGCGAAGTATTTCCCTTCCTTCCTTCCTGGATTAAGACTGCAAGCTGTTGCCTTGTTTATACATTCTCACCAAAGGAACATCTAAATGTCAGGGGTGAGTGAAAGCCCAAGATATGGATGGAAATGTCACCTCATAAATTAATTGAAATTTTTATTCCAATGGAAATTGGATGAATCTTATAAAATATAGAGAAGTGCTGTAGTGTTTGGGAAGCAGCAATCTGACCAAGAGAAAGCAGATTTAAAGTTCATCCTTGTAAGTTGCTATTGCTACAGAAAAACTCCAGTAAAATTATGGCCATGGCATTATGACTGTGCGTTGACTTTTTTTTTTTTTTTTGTGAGGAAGATCAGCCCTGAGCTAACATCCATGCCAATCCTCCTCTTTTTGCTGAGGAAGACCGGCCCTAAGGTAACATCTATT